CTGAATTTTCTTTTTCAACTTGAGTAAACAAACTACATTCAGCTGAGCAACAGTTTTCTTCCAGGTCAACACAGATGTTCAGCAGTAAACACTCACCAGGTTTTCTTGCGTGGGAGCACAATTTCTTCCTGAGTAACTATGAGAAACAGTATTAAAATTATTATTAGAAACCAATGATGTTCAAAGAAAACCCTAAGCTCACAACAACTGATGAATTGAGCTGATCCAACTGAAAGTACAAAAGCAAAGACTTAAAAACCACAGCTTCATGTAGGCCACAATTCACTGGAATGGTAACAGAAAAGGCTGACAGGGAGCTTAAGTCTCGTGTCAAAACAGGATCAGGGGCCTATGGCAAACAAACCTGAGAGACTGTACCCACTGTACTCTCAACAAGATGACCCATCCAACCTTCTTCAATCACCTTCATCCTGTATCTTCTCACTTGAGCCCTAGCCTTTCCCAGTCCCTTGGCTTCCCACTCTTAGTCCCCACATTTGAAGTTTACTATCTCAGCCTGCCTGAACACTGTAGACAGGTGCCCTCTCATGTTCCTGCTCCAACGGCCTGACACCAACTTCTTAGTTCCTTCCACTCCATAGGTTACTCTGCCCAGACTTCCCAAAGAGGAAAAAAGGAAAAGGACAATACTAGGTGATCTCTAGAGGTCCCTTCCAACTCGGACAATTCCATGATTCCGTAATACCAAAAGAAGCAGCTACAGGTTGAAATTCCTTCACAGAGGAGCATGTGGGACCTCCTCATTACATCCCCCAGAGCCAGGGTCTGCAGAGGCACTTTTCCCACCACCTGTGTGTTGATGCTTCCATGAGCTGTTACTGACTGGCAGGAACTTGTTCCCACGTGCAGCAAGGCTCCAGGCATCCCAGCTTACTTTTCTCACAAAACTCATAAAAGAAATATGGTAAGGGGCACAGAGAAGCAAGTATGTGAGGGAAACTCTCAGAATTAAGGTGGAAAACTCCTTGTTTTTATTTTATAGTTTGTTCCATTTCAAAGTGCAACTAGTCATGGAACTGGATAACTCAGTTCATTCTCTCAGAGCACAGAGCTGGTTGGTGGTGAGGGTAGTCAAGTGAAGCCAGGAAACCTTTCTGACAGGGGAAAAGAAAATCCAAGGAGGGTAAAGAGGGTATTCCTGTCTTCTTTATCTTCTGAGATTAAAAAACATATGCAAGAAACTAGTAATTAAGACTTCATACCTTCTGAATTGTCCAGAGTCTTCCCAAGAGCTGTACTACTAGAAGAGCACCTGTAAACCAACCAGAGCTTTGAATTTATCATAGTCACATTAACACAGCAGAAGTAAATTAATGAAATTCTGACTAATTAAAAGATTAGATGAGAAAACTAACTCGCAATGTTGCACTACTACTGCTGCTGCTCCAAAAATACAATAAAACTTGTACCTGATGATTCTCTTAAAGCCCTGATTTCAAGAGACAATGGATATACACAGAAAACTGTACTACATAAAATTTGTGATTCTTTCATTTTGGCAATCTAATTATTTTCAAGTAGTTTTCATCAATTACTGCATCTTAGAAATAAAATACTGAACACAAATCAGAAAACACTTTGGGTTTTAGAGGCAGGATCTAGCTGAAAGCAGTACCTTTTACAAAATATTTTAGACCTGAGCAGTATTCACACTTATCTTTGGTTGGTCCTGATCTTTAAGGTCCCTTCCAACCCAAACCACTCTAACATTTTATGTCTGATATTCGCTCACAATTTACTGCTTCTAACACAAATTAGAGCTTACAATGCTTACCTTTTTCCTCAAGAAACAAACCAACACCAAAGCTTTACTGTAATGGGTGTTCGTCTGTGCTTCTACACTGACCCTGCCACTGAGAGAAACGCTGTTAACTCACACCTCTGGGCTTTGCAGTGATACTGCATAATTCTAGCAGTTCCTGTACGTCACGGAAACCTATCAGCCACGATTTTACCCACTCTGATTACAGAATCACAGAATCTTAGGGGTTGGAAGGGACCTGGAAAGACCATCCAGCCCAACCCCCCTGCCAGAGCAGGATCACCCAGAGCACATCACACAGGATCCAGGTGGGTTTGAATGTCTCCAGAGAAGGAGACTCCACAACCTCTCTGGGCAGCCTGTCCCAGGGCTCTGCCACTCTCACAGGAAAGAAATTCCTCCTGATATTCACACAGAACCTCCTATGTTCCAGTTCGCACCCACTGCCCCTTGTTCTTTCACCGGTCATCACTGAACAAAGCCTGGCGGGGACGTTTCCATCCGAAGCAAACTCCGCAATCAACCTTCCCCCTTCACCTCTAGGAATCACCTCACAGCCCCACCTCGCTCCCGAGGCGCACAGCCCACCAAAAACCCACAAAAACAGGCTCTCCCTCCCCCCAGGCCCGCCGGGCCCTGCCCGCCTCAGCACCGCGCCCGCGCGGCCGTTCCCGCCTCCGCCCCACAGA